ATAAACTGTCGCCAATTACAGACCCGGGCGGACACATGAGTGCCAATTACGCGCAGACAATGCTTGAGTACTGTTTAGTATCTGGTAATGATTGGTGGGATGTGATCATTGGCTTACGACCCAATCTTATCGATAGTGTTTGTGAGAAAATTACCGAAACTTTTATGAATAAACAGCAGTTGGAGTTACAGCAGAAATGGTTGAGTCGTTTTCTCACAATCAAAGCATCACTTTATAGATGTCTCAATACGAGTAGTGCTAACAATAGCGGTCAATGCAAAGCTGGAGACTTCTACACATTGATTATGTTGAACGCCATCGCAACGACTCTGAAATCATTGCTCAGACCGCGGGATAACCAGGAGAATGAGGGACCGGCTGAGAACCTCAGTCTTCTCATTCAAAATAAGGGAAATGACATGCAATACATGAAAGTTGACACAATTCTCATTAATTTAGATAATAAGGACTTTTGCGTTGAGCCGCAGATTTTGCAATCTTTCCAACATTTGCATCAATGGATTGCAGATTTAACCCTCTATTTATTGGCTTCATTGCCACAACAGTGTCATCACAACCAGTTTAGATTTCCCGGGGTATTCTCGCCATTACTTCTTACCATTTTATTAACAACTAATTAATTGTTATCATTTCATTCAAAGGGTGGCTTAATATTCGATACAAAAGCATTGAATACATTGAGAGAACTGTTGGTAATAATCCGGTTTTGGGGTCTAATTAACTCCGGATGTCTTCCGGTGTTCACCAAAATGGAGAACGATTTGGACGTAATTTCGCTTCTTTTCAAACTTTTATCTAAAACAGTGACCGAAAGACTCGACGAAAAACTATTAGACGAGTGCTGTCTTCTTCCAAATCAAGTGCTTATTCCTCATTTAGACTTATGTCTCAAAGCGATAGGCGTCGCGAGTCCTGCACTCTTCACGAATGCTCTTCCCCTCCAATTTGATTACTTTTCTGAGCCCTCGTTCTTGAAATTCACCGCAAAAACCCATTCAATCGACGGCGCCGTTAATTGCTATGCCGGACGTCGTATAGATGTAGTCCGTTATGTAGGACTCGGGGCTTCCAATCAGGAGTCCTCTAACCTAAGGTCGTGTTCGCGATGTAATGCCGTCTCATTGCTGAAGCCTATTATGCGTTCGCCGGCCACTAGAGCTTGGGATCAAAGATGGATTAAGAACTGCTTATGTGGTGGACACTGGAGGGTCAACACAACTTCATAATATGCACACATTTCACACCATTAGTGATTGTGGACTTAATCACCAATAGTTTATAAACTCATATTCTAATCACTGATTATTTCTAACAATTATGTCTTTTCTATCATTAATACATAAAATTGTACATAAATTTTTTAATTAACTATTTTCTGACATTACTGTATCATTGAAACTGATTTCAGGTATTTTTGGAAATAATTATTAAATAAGTTAAATAAGTAAATATTTTTTTGGGTTCAATTGTATGGCAAATAATTTACAATCAACTTAAAACATGTTCAATTCACGCACTGATTCAGGTAATCAATTATAGACTATTATTAGTTAGGAATTGGAATTTAATTGAATAAAACTAGTACCGTATTCTTCCGCATAAACGCCCATGGGGGTTTAAATGAGGGGTCCCTGACTCGAGTAGACTTCAAAATAGCATGGGGTGTTACCTGGATAAGCCCCCACCCTCTCTAAGAAATCGACATAATACCCCATGGGATAATATCTCAAAGTAATAGCAATGAATACATTTATATACCAAATTCAGTGATTATAGATTTCAATTTAAACAATTTCTATTTAAGACACATTTAATCATTTGAATGAATGTATAAGTACTTAAAAACAATACTACCTTCTAATTAAACTTTTCACATTTAACTAATTTTTTGAGTCAAAATAGCATGGGGTGTTACCTAGGTAAACCCCCACCCTCTCTAAGAAATTGACATAATACCCCATGGGCGTTTATGAGGAAGAATACGGTATAACCTCACTATACATAAGTGGCCCTACAGTAGCCCTAGCGCGGATTAGTGGGTATAAAGTAGGGCTAGAAATTATATTTTTAATGTATATTTCAACATGATTCATTTGTAAGATTTTACATTAAAAGTATTCGATTAAGGTGCAAAACATAAAAAATTATACTTTAATTATTAAAGTTTAATATATAGTTTTTACCACCAAAGTTTCACTTTTTTTCTAGCCATAGTATAAAGTAATAAAAATTCAAAAGCTAATTGAATTATATAGAAATGTATTGAAAGTGCAGACCTTTTATTGAAGTGTTAATTATAGGTTTATAAGGAATAGTGATAAATGTCTTATTTTAGATTAATTTGATTTTTCATTAATAATTGTAATAGTTTTAAGTTAAATACTTGTATTGATTGTGAGTTGTGTTGATAACAGACACGACCCATCGAAGAGACATTTAGTCAATTTCACCACGAAGTTAACCAAAGTATTCCAACCATATCTGTCGGGCAGTGGTAGCGCTGCTATGATCTCAAACATGAATCCGTCGCCAAAC